GGGGGGTGGGGAGCGAGGTGGTGAGGCAGGACCGGTTGCGCAGGCGCGCTGGGGTCACATGTCGTTCTAAGGGGCAGAGCTTCATGAAGGAGCATTCATTGGCTAGGTAGCCAACGGGATGTCTCGGGGTGTGGCAGGCCTGCCTGGGCGGGAACCTGTCGTCCTTCCAAGGAATCAGAAGGGGTCTGTTTGCGCAGGCGCTGTGGGGATCCCCCGTGGCACTGGGCACTAAGGTGCGGAGCTTGGTGAGGGACTGCTCATTGGCTAGGTAGCCATGGGGTCTCCCGGGGCCCGCGGGCGGCAGGGCCTGCTGGGCAGGAACCGAGGCCTCACTAGGGGCCTGTTTGTGCAGGCGCCCTGGGGTCAAGTCATGCGCGAAGGAGTGGGGCTTCTGCAGGGAGCCTCAGTTTCTCAGCAGCCAACGGAGTCTCCGAGAGCCTCCAGGACGATCGCTTTGGCGGAAATCCACCACGCGCCCGGCGGCCTCACTAGGGCCTGTTTGCGCAGGCGTGCGGGGCGGAGTCAGCGTGAGGGGACGGAGCTTTGGGAAGGAGCCACAGTTCCTTAGGCTCCCGCGGAGAGGGCGGAGTCGAAGGCGGAGCGCGGCGGCCATGCAGGCGGCAGACGCAGGCGCAGGCGGTGCGGCGGGCGGCGCCGAGGGCCAGGACCGCGAGGGTGGCCACGGCCTCCACGGCGGTGCAGGCGCGGCGACCGCTGCAGCCAGGGGAGCTCCGCGTGTCACGCGAGCACAGCACGCACCAGGGCCAGGTGGAGACGCCACATCCATAGCCAGAAGGCCAGAAAGCCGACTACACATATTGTATCCTACCGGAGGGGACAGCGGGGAATGGTCTGGGGGCTGCCTGCGGGCGGGGAATGACGTGCAGAGGGACAGATAGGTAGGTGGCAGCATGGGGGCGGAAAGGGGAGCGGGGGGGAACCGGGGACGGCTGGGGCTGGGATTGGTCTGGGGGGGAAAGAAATGAGAGTAAAGGGGAATGGGGTGGCTGGGGAGGACTAGGGCCACGGGTGGTCTGGAGGGGGTGGAAGCAGTCCTGAAAGGAGTGAGACTAGTCAGGGTGGTCTGAGAGGGGGCCCGAGGCACAGAGTCTTTATGGATGGTGCCTTAACCGAATCTCCAGCGTCCTCAGGGTGCCTTTCCCGTCCCCCTTGGAGGCGGAGATCGCCCATGGGTCCCTGACCCCAGATGCGGAACCCCACCGAGGGACGGTTCGGAAGGAGCTCACAGTGATTGGCAGCGTCCTGGCGGTGTAAATTCTCGGGGCTGGGTAGGATTAGCAGCGGGTGTCCAGGCCACCTGGGGCGCTCTATTGGAGACACGGAGACACGGGTTAGGTCTAGAGAGGGGACGTGGTCCGCTAGACCCGTCTCCGTCTGAGGGGGCGCTCTAATGCACATAGCAAAGGATTCGGTGTAATGGATGCCTGAGAGGCAGAGCAAGGAAGGGGAGGAGTTACCGCGTCCAAATTGATTTTCTTTTTCCCTCACTTTTAGCCGCTGGAAAGCTGAAGATTCTCGCCTCCTCCGAATTTCCATCATCAACTTTCTTGACCAGCTTTCCCTGGTGATGCGGACCATGCAGTGCTTTGGGCCCCCTGTTTCCCGCTAAGCCTGGGCTGGGAAAGGGGGCTAAGGTCTAACCTCCTGTCCCTTCCTAGGCAGTGCATCTTTCCTAGGCGGAAGATTGCTGCAGTCGCTGCCACTTTATTATGGGGCCCTAATGTTTTGCTTTTACTGGCCTTTGGGCACTCAGGGTCCACTTGTTTCGTTTGGTGATTCAGTGTTCATTACAGCAGAAAATAAAACTGAGCAGCTATTCCGTGTCTGAGTTCCTTTTCAGCTACTGCACCTCCTAATATTCTTGTCTTTGTCCTCATGGTGCGGGGGCGGTTCTGGGATTCAGATAGTCCAGTAGGACAAGGCAATTGAAGACAATTTAGGAAATGGAAGAAGGTGGGTCTTGTCATTCAGTATTAACTACTGTCAACATTTTGGAATATTTTCTTACTTTTATACTTGTATTTCTATAGTAAATAATAATATATAATGCATGATATTTTGCAAGTTTAGGATTTTTCCTGATATTTTTCATCTAATATGAACTTTCACTCTTTCTAAAAATTCTTCAAAAGCATTATTGAATAAATGCATAAAAGATAAATTGTAATTATTGAACATTTAAATTATTATTTTTGTGTGTGTGAGGAAGATCAGCCCTGAGCTAACATCCACGCCAACCCTCCTCTTTTTGCTGAGGAAGACAGGCGCTAAGCTAACATCTATTGCCAATCCTCCTCCTTTTTTCCCCTTTTTCTCCCCAAAGCCCCAGTAGATAGCTGTATGTCATAGTTGCACATCCTTCTAGGTGCTGTATGTGGGACACGGCCTCAGCATGGCCGGACAAGCAGTGTGTCAGTGTGCGCCCAAGATCTGAACCCCGGGCCGCCAGTAGTGGAGCGCGCGGACTTAACCACTAAGCCACGGGGCCGGCCCCTAAATTATTTTCAATTTTTGCCCTATTATAGGTAATGATTCAATGGAATTCTTGTATATAAATCTTTGCATTGGGCCGGCCCCGTGGGTTAGCAGTTAAGTGGGTGCGCTCTGCTGCTGGCGGCCAGGGTTCGATCCCGGGCACGCACCGATGCACCGCTTCTCCGGCCATGCTGAGGCTGCGTCCCACATACAGCAACTAGAAGGATGTGCAGCTATGACATACAACTATCTACTGGGGCTTTGGGGGAAAAAATAAAATTAAAAATCTTTGCATGAATGATTGTTTCCTTAAGATAGATTATAAGAGATAGGATTACTGCGTTAAATATTTACTATCTATTTTTTAAAGCTCTCAATCTACCGTGAAAAATTGCTCTCTAGCGAATGTACCCTCCCACCAGAATGCTGGTTTCCCACATCCTTGTCACCATTGGGTCGCCTCAGCAAATTTTTTTAAAAACTTAGTTTGCATGAGAACAACAAAAAAACAAAAATTCTGGAATAGGAGCTTTGTGGCTTACTGGCCTTGTCAGTAAGTGAAGAAAAAGTGAAGAACTGCTGGGACAACTGTTTAAGCCTTTTGTTGGAAGAAGTTAGTTCCCTGTACAATATGTTATATCCTGCAGCCTTGCTAAACTCACTTATTCTGGTAGCTCCTTTATAGAATCCATCAGATTGTCTATATAGGTGATCGTGTCTGCAAATAAAGGCAGTTTTTCTTCTTTCTTTCCAATCTGGATGTCTTTCTTTTATTGCTTGATTTCTCTCCTCATTATAGGTTGGGTTTTCCTGCTGCTCTGCATGCCTGGTAATTTTCGATTGGATGCCAGGCATTATGATTTTCCCTTGGGTGCTGCGTACCTTTGTATTCCTCAACATCTTTATGAGCTTTGCTCTGGGATGCTGTTAATTGACTCGGAAACAGTCGGATCCTTTTGAGTCTTGCTTTGAAGATTTGCTACGTGGGACCAGAGCAGCTTTCAGTGTCAGTCATTTTTTTCCACACTCCTGAGGCGAGACCCTTCTGAGCACCCTGCCCGATGCCTCCTGAATTATGAGGTTTGCCATTGTGGCTGGAGGGGACGGAAGCGGGGACAGCTGCTAGTCCCTGTCCTGCTTGAGTGCTGGGCATAGTTACCTTTCATCCTTTCGGGGCAGGGAGGTCTCCTTTCCCTGGCCTCCCTTGCGTAGTGTCCTCCTACACTTGTGCTCGTCAGTGGTCTGTGGAATGCTCCCTGCGGAGCATGCAGGGTACTCCCTGCGGGTATGCAAGGTTCTGTCCCTCTGCTGCTCTCTCCAGTCCTCTGTCCCCGCCAACTCTAGGTGCTCAGAATTTCAGTTCTATCTCCTAAACTCAGGGTCTCTGTTGGGCCCCATCAGGAAACTCTCTCTCCAGTCAGTCAGCTGGGGCAACTGCAGGGCTGACCTGTTTGTCCTCAGCTCCCAGAGATCACTGTCCTTCCCCGCCTGATAGCTAGTGTCTCCAAACCTGTAGTTCAGATCTGCTGTCTGGTTTTCTGGGGTGTTTCAAGTGGGAGGGTAGGTGTGGTCCCTCTTACTCTGTATGCCTGGGCGTAGTCTGCCACTGCAGAACTTGGAGAGCTCTGATGTTGTGGGTTGGAGGGAGAGAGATGTTGTTGATGGGGTTGGTGGCAGTGGTCCTGATGATGATGAAGAATCTCACCTGACAGCATGCCATAGCTATAGTGGCTACAGCAAGGGTCTCTTTCTCTTTTTTTAAAATCATTTTTAAGACAATTATAGATGGACAGATGAGAATTTAGCTCTTTTACACCAATATCCACTCTGCTTCCCCTCTTCCTTCTCCCAAAATGGTTCTATGCCATTCATTTCTTGGGGTTTCTATTTTCCCTGAGGTTAAAAATTGCCTTGTTTAGTTTTCTATTGGCTTAGCTTCTCTTATCGCACAATGGTAATGTTTAAAACCATCTTCCTTGGTGTCCTCCCTCCTTTTCCTGTCTGGGTCTCTCTAGGTCACCTGCCTGCACAGCTGTCATCCTGGGCCTTGCCTTTCTCTGGGCTGGAATCTTGAGCCTGGATCACATAGCTTTCCCTTTACTCTTGCGCCTCTTCTTTTCGTTTCCTTGTCTGTGTTGGAAGCCAACTTTAGTGAGGTCTAATTTCCACAGGCAACTTCCCTCTTTTTAGGTGTACAGGTCCAGGATTTTGGCAAACACATACAGGTGTGTAACCACCACCACAGTCCACTGCCTTGGCCCCACAGGTGGACTGCTGAAGCTGCTGGTGGCTTTAACACCTAAGTCAGGTCACGAACTGCTCTGTTCCAAACCCTCCCTGGGCTCCCCTCTCACTCAGAGACAAAGCCAAGGTCCTTACGGTGGCCTGCAGAATCCAGTGTGATCTGGACTGCTCCCTCTCTGGCCTCCTCCCCTCCCCTCTCCACCTTGCTCACTCTGATCCAGCCACATTGGCCTCCTCCCCTTTTGTGAAACGCACCAGGCCCATGTCTACCTCGGGGCCTTTGCCTTGGGCTCTCCCCTGTCTGGACCCCCCTTCCCCCAGGGTTCCGCCTGGCTCACTCAGATATCATTCCTGGCCACTCCATTTAAAATTGCATTCCACTTTCTCCTCAGCCTGCATTACTTTAACAGGTGTGGGGCATAAGAGGTAAGTGGGTGCATCATGATGGAGCTACAACTGGAACAGTAAAGAATTGTCAGACATGAAGGAGTTTGGGTGCAATGAAGCCACTGGAGAGTTTTAAACAGAGTGGGACAAGATATACCTTGTATCTTACCAGGATCCAGTGCCTCCAACATTGAGACTAGGCCAGGGGGTGGAGAGGACAAGGCAGAAGCAGGGAGACTGGCACCCAGGCAAGAGTCAAGGGTGGCTTAGACCAGGCTGGGAGCAGTGGACGTGGGGAGAGGGGAGCCGATTCTGAATGTATCTTGAAGGTAGAGCCACCAGGACCTGCTGATGGATTGGACATGGACCTGGACCTCCTCAAATCCTCAGGAAGCCTGCAACGAGTTACCCTTCCTCCCACAAAGGCAGCCCAGCTGGTCTGAAGTCCAGCAGTTTCCCTGCCTGCTCCCATGTTCTCTGACCACCCATCTTCCCCAAGGACAAAGGCACACACTGACTCCATTTTCCCAACATTTAATTAGGAAAAAAAATTACATGAACAAAGAAAAACTCATGCAACAAAAGAGGGGAGAATGGGGTTTCCAGGACTGCAAGACGGGGCCAGATTCCTCAGAGGAGGCAGAGGACGGAGTAAGGCACTGCTGCCTCGGCCCCGTGGGGCGGGCGCAGGACAGGGCAGCTGAGGATGAGGGGGTCGGGGGCAAATGCAGACAACACTGAGGAAGTTTGGCAGTAGGGCCAGGAGAAGGAGAGTCCTGGAGACCCCAGGCCCAGGTCAGGCCCCGGCACCAGCCTGGTTCAAGCTCTCCAGGAGCTCAGAGAGAACAGGGCCCTGTGAGAACAGACAGTCCAACTCCCGAGAAGTTTGGAGGGGGACGCTGTGGCCCAGCTGTAGGGGAACCCCTGGGCACAGCCACAGTCTGAGGGCAGCTTCAGGTGCATCAGCCCACCCCAAGTGCTGCCGGTGCCAAGGCCCCTTCTCGGAATGGGTGGGGCCAGCCACGGCAAGGGTGAGGTGCCAGAGGCTAGGCCAAAGCTGACAATGTCACAAGGGAGCCAGGACGACTCAAGGAGAGAACGTGAGTGAGGCTGGCAACATCCCAGGGGGGACAAGTATTTACAGATGGAGAGGGTGAGGTGGAGGTAAATTAAATAAATAGGTCGTTGGGGATATAAATAGCAAGGAAGGCAGGGGCTGTCACAACACCTGGGTGCAAGGGCAGGAGGCTGGGGGTATTGCTGCTGCTGGGGTCGGGGGCTTGGTCCTGTCACCCTGTCCCCCTCCGCCCCCCACCCCCGCCCCGGCGGGGCCCAAAGCAAGGCACTAATGAAGGGGGCGCAGATGGGCCAGGGGCACATTGGCCCCGTGGCCTCCCCCGTCCCGCCCGATCCGGGCTCAGCCCCTAGACCCAGGTGTGTGCCGCCCCCCTCGACGGGAGGACGGCTCAGGACTGAGAAGCCCCCTCCTCACCGGTTCACCACCCTTAGCTGTTGCTGGACAGGAGGCTGATGATCTGTTCCAGCTTCTGGCGCAACTTATGCTTCCGACAAGAGGCATCTCGGTCCAGAGCGGTGAGAACCTGGGGGAGGAGGGCCCCTCGGAGCTGGGCTCGCGGGGAGGGGCCAGCTCCTCCTGGGCAAACACCCGCTCCCCAGCCGGGAGCTCTTCCCTCCCTCACACCTCAGCACATCCCTCCTCCCAGGGGGCCCTGGGCACGTGGGATGGGCTGCAGTCTCTCACCTCTGAATACACCCTGCAGCTTCTCCTCGACCCCAAATCCTCCTCCAACTGCAGAACTTTCTTGTCGTCCTCTCCACAGCCAGAGCGCAGCCCCTCCCAAGAGTGGTCTGGACTCGCTGTCCCTGATTTCCCCTTACCCATTCAGTCCTGACACCCTCCCCTACAACCTCTCTTGTCCAGGTCTCCATGATCCTGTCGCCAAGCCCCAGTGAGCGTTTGGGGCCTCATCTCCCTTGACTGTCGGCAGCACCCGACAGAGCCGACCACCCCCTCCTCCCTGACCCCCACCCCCGGGGGGGGTCTCACTCGTGTTCCAGGACCTGCCCGGCACTCTTTGGGTCCCTCCCACCCCTCCTCAGTCTCCACTGCTGGCTCCCTGTCTTCTCAGCCACCTCTGAGCGTCCCAGGGCCCCAGGGCCCAGTGCTGGGGCCGCTTCTCCCTCTATACCCACTTGGCGGCCCTTGGTGAGCTCAGCCGGGCTCCGGGCTTTCAGGGCCATGTCCTGGCTCACAAGTTCTTGTCTCTAGGCAAGGATACATCCTGAAGTCCACACCTCTACGTCCCCCGCCTCCTGAGGTCTCCCCTCGCAAACCCCCAGGCCCTACACAGGGCTGACCCCGCCCACCTTCTGGCCCCACCTCCTTGGTCCCACCCCACCCCCCTCAAATCCAGCATCCATGGAGAGTGTCACCTGTGCTAGTCCAAGGGCCTGGTCAGAGGGAGTATTATACGCAATCTGTCCCCTCTACCTCCTTGTGGCACTCCCTGACCCACTGAGGCCCCTGCCTTTGCCAACGGCTGCACCTTCAGGGCCAAGCAAATGGGGGCTTGTGGGGGCAGTACGCACCTCCTGGCGGTACTTGGTGACATAGAAGTAGAGCTCGCTGAGTGCGCTTAGGACATTGAAGTCACTGGCATGGAGTCGGGACTGCTCCACCAAGTAGGCATCCATGTCCTGGTCGCTGATGGATGCCATCTTTGCAATGTCCCGGTAGTACCTGTTGGGACCCTGAGTAGGTCATACAGGTAGGTGCCATAAAAGCCAAAGCCCCTGCCCTGGCTGCCAGGCTGGCCCCGGGCCTTTTCCTAAAGCTGGCCCACCTAAGACAAGCCAGGGCAAGAGGGTGGCTCCTGTCCCCCTCACCAGGCAGCAGTGTGTCTGAGCAGCCTGACCCCGTCTCCCCTCCCCCCAGCACCCGGGGCTGCAGCGCAGGGCCCACCTCTCCACCCAGCTCTTATAGTTGGGGATGTCCTTGGCGTAGAGCAGCTTGTTGGAGGGCGAATCCTTGCCCAGGCGATGCTCGGATGTGGAGCAGGAGTCCATGAAGGTCTGGGCCACCACAGACAGGCAGGCGTCCGTGATGCTGCTCTTGTGGATGTCGAACACAAACTGTGGGTTCTTGATCACGTTCACCCAGAAGCGCAGGGGCAAGCTGGATGGAGGAACACACACCCACAGCTCCCTGGCCACCCAGTGAGTACTCTCCCATCACTGCTCCCCTCCACGGTTCCCATCTGGCCAGCTCCCTTCCTTCCCAGAGTGGCAAGAGGGACACATTTAGCGTTAATGGCCCTTTCTTTAAGTTTCTGCTGGCCTTCAAGCAGTGAGAAATCAGAGTAATTAGCTTTTCTGTCCCGAGTGCATCTCAACCCCCAACAGCGACCACCTGGGGCAGGCCCCCAGCATCTCTGCCCTGTGCAAGGCCCCAGAGAGCAAAGGGCCATCTCTGGGTGCTGGCCTGACTACAAACATCTCAGCCGCTCAAATGCCCAGTGAGCCCACCTCAGAAATTGCACTCCTCGCCCTCTTAGCTTGGTGGCAGCACTGACCCCAGCCCACAGTCCTCTTCTGCCTGGACGACCACTCCGGCCCGTCAGTCACCCTGGCCCCATGGTCCCTGATTCTTGGCAGAGCCACCAGCCTCTTCTGCCCACCCGTCCCTAGAGAGGCCAGCAGTGGCCCAGCACAACGCAATACCAGTTGCTCTTCCACGTGTGGCGCACGTCGGGGTCGCTGATCTGGCGCTGGTCGGCCTGCTCATCCAGGAAGTCGAACATGTACTTGATGGCCAGGGGCAGGGCTGAGCCCCTGTGTGCCGTGCTGAACACGGTCTCAAAGAGGTCGTCCACAAACTTCTGCAGTGTCCCCTGCGGAGGTGCAGCAAGGGTCCAGGCTGTGAGGGAGCCAGGTCAGGACGTCCCCACAACAGGACAGACGGGGGAGACACAGAGGCTCAGCAATGAGCAGGGCTTCCCTGCAAAGCCAACACCCCTAAGACAGGCCTGGTCTCAACTTCGGGCTGGGAATTCCCATAGCAAAGGCCTTAAGAAAGGCCCACTGGACTCAAACAACCCAGTCGCCTCCTCCCCAGGCAGCCCAGGCCAACCTCCGGGCCAAAGCCAGGCTAGAAGGCATCTGGGCTGAGGCCAGGGTGGTGCAGGGCAGGCCCACACCTTAGTGGCCAGCAGCCGTGTCAAGTAGATCTCTGAGACCATCTTGCTGCCACGGTCCCCCTCGCGGTGGTCGGCATGGTCGTGGTTCTTCACCAGGTGCCACAGCTTGGTGCCCGTCTCCTGGTCTGGTGTGATCATGGGCGCCCGAGAGCGGAGGCTATCAGGGCTGCTGGCCGTGCGGAGCAAGCTCTCTGGGACAGAGGACAAGGGTGCCCCTTAGGCCAGTGGGGCCACACCAGTATCCTCAGGGCTCTTGCCCCACTCTGTCCCGGGAGCCCAGCAGGCTGATCAGGGCCTGTCTGCTCTCACCGGCCCACCCCACTTCTAAGCCCTAAGGAACTGGAGACCTCCCAAGGGCAGGGCCCGGGGAGGCTGCCCCAGGGGGTCCCCCATGACAGCTGAAACAGCCTCGAAGGGCACAGGGCCAGCAGAGGCCACCACACTGAGAATACCTACCGTAGCGGCTGAGGGAGCGGGTGAAGGTAAAGGAGTTGGCCATGTTATAAGAGGATACTTGCTTGGGCACCAGTGCCACCAAGGAACCATCTGTCACCTGGAGACCCCAAAGACAGACAGGGGACAGTGCAGCAGGCCAAGAAGCCAAGGGGCCTGAGCCACCACCCGCTCAGACCCCGCAGTGCCCATGTAGGTCAGCACCCGAGGCTCCCTGCGGAGAGCATGTAAGCGCAGGTGCCAGAGAAGGGAGGAGCCATGGTCCCTGCTCCGGAATCCTCAGGGCAGTGCTGCAGCTCCCCGGTGGCCCTAGGGGTGACTAGGCCCCCAGGCCCTCACCTGGTAATGGGCCAGTGAGTTGACCCTCTTCCAGTCACACTCGATCTTGGTGGTGACATCCTCATCCTGGAGGATGATGCGGGCCATGCGGCCCTGGCGCCATTCTGCAGGCCACAGACAACCCTTGAGATCCTGATCTGTCCCCCAAGACCCTGGGCACTCTCCCCTCAGAGGACAGAGCCCAGGTGAGGAGTGTGAGCACCAGCCAAGGTAATGTGGCCACAGAGTCGGGGCCACGAGGAGAGGGTGGGGCCTCACCTAGGTCCATGTCCTCAGCTTTGGGGCGCTGGGAGTACGGGAGGCCCTTGTACACCACGTCCAGCAGCTTGTCTTTGGCCTGCGTGATGCTGTCACAGTTGAGAACCTTCACCGGGACCTGAGCGCTGCCCTCACTCTCCGGGCACACACAGTGCAGGGTCTGAATGTGAGGGGTACACAGGGTGGGTCCTGGGTAAGGCTTCCCCTCATGCCCAGAGCCCTGTCCACCTGCTCCCTCACTCACCAGTGTCTTGTAGTCGATCTGCTGCCGGATGAGCTTGTCCTCGCTCAGGGAGTAGCGCGCCTCGCCCGTGATGGCGTCGATGGGGCCCTTCTCCATCTGCTGCTTGATGGCACAGTACAGCAGAAAAAGCGGCTCCCCGGCGCACTCCTGCAGCCGGGCCGGCACACAGCTTGCTGCCTGCCTGACAGCCAGCTACTTCCCCACATCACCACCCCTGCGCCCGCCCGCCAAGCGCACCTTCAGAAACTTATGTAGCAGGAATGTGAACCAGTTGGTAAGCATCTTCTCAGCCACTGACTCGGTCCTAGGGTGAAAGGGGTGCTCGGTTTGGGCCTGGCAGGAGGTGGGGCCCAGGCAGAACCCGGCCTGATGGGGTGGGGCCTGTTTGGGGGTGGAGCTGGCAGAGAGCCGGGCTGGAGCGGTACAGTACCTGCGCAGTAGCAGCTTTGGGTGGTTCTTGCTCTCCAAGTTTTTCTCTATGAGATCCGCCAGCAGTTGCTTGAGCAACCCTGTAGCATAATCAAGGCGGCTCTGCAAGGCCACCATGGTGAGCGAGGCCACGGTGCCACGGTCCCGCATGGAGAAGCTGCTCTGGGCCTCTAGCGTGTGGATGAAGGTCAGCACGAAGGCCCGGCTGTGCAGCAGCTGCCCGAAGAGGCGCAGGGCCTTCTCGACATTGGGCGGGGTCTGTGGGGGACAGGGCATCTTAGAGGGTGCAGGGGTGGCCCTGGGGATGACGGAGAGTGGGCAGGCAATAGAGGAGACTCACATCCAGCTCCTTGAGCACCGGGTGGGCCTCGATGCCTGGGAAGAGCACACGCACAGCATAGGTCCGGTAGTCCAGGAAAGGGATCTGCACCCCATCCATATGGTTTGTCAGCTCGTTGATGTCTGTCTGCAGCTCGGCAAAGGCTGGGGAGGGGCAGGGAGGGAGAGTGAGCGAGAAACAGGCAAAGGCAGGCCCCCCGGCTCACCCACCCTACAGTGCACCTCCACCCCAGGCACCTTCCTTGCATTCCAGGGCCACACGGGACTCCAAGTTGTCCATCTGTAGCTGGAGCCGCTTGAGCGTGCGGTCTGCATCCTGAGTCTTGCGCTTATAGGCGACCAGCACAGCAGTGATGGCCAGCAGCAAGAGCCCGCCGCCCACCGCCAGCCCCACCACGGCTGGCAGGGTCAGCGCCCGCTCAGCCGTGATGTGCAGGGTGCCCAGCCAGAACTCCAGGCCACCCACCAGCACCTGCGGGGACAGGCCTACTGTGAGCTGACCCCCATGCCCACCCCACACTCCCCTGGTGGCCTCCCCACCCCCACCCACCATGACAGGCTGCCGGCCCGTCTGGCTGGGTGAGTCGCACAGGAGTTGCGTGTCCGAGACAGTGAGTGCGCACGGCTGGCCCCCAATCAACACTGTGTAGTTGAGGCGGGAGCTGCCAGCTGCTGCGGGGATCAGATTCTTGCCCTGCAAGTAGAGGGCACGGTCAGCCAGGTCTCCCCACCTCCCTGCCCCTCCCAACCCCTGCACCTCACCGGCACCTTCAACACTACGTGGGAGCCAGGTTTGACGTCCAGGACGCCAGAGGGCCCAAATGGCTCGAAGCTGGGGTCAGGGTAGTAGGTAAAAGAGGATCGGTTGAGGGAGCGGGCCGTCTGCACATGATCCAGCAGGAAGCCGAACTCATCAGGGTGTTCGCCCTGGGCCTGTGGCTGGGGCCGCCCCAGGAATATGCCAGGGGCCTTACACAGCATGGCAGTGTCGTTGATCACCTGGCACGTCTGTGGGGACAAGGGCAAGTAGCCCGGCACATGAGGCCACAGGAGGTAGGGTCAGGGGCGGGGCGAGGGCAGCTGGCACTCACATTGGTGGTTTCAATGCCTCGGTACTTGGCCCGGACCCGGGGCTCCTGGACTGTCAGCAGGTGGGTCCCACTCACAGTGATGGCAGTGCTTCCGCTGGGGGCAGGGGCAAGGGGCTCTGGCTCAGAGGAGGTGTAACTTGATGCCCAAGGCCCCAGTCACCAAGGGAGGCCCCAGGACAGGATCTCGAGGACCCAGTCCCCAACTCCCTCGATGCCGGCCAGGCTCCACATTTTCTCAAGGGTCTTACTTGATGATGCTCCAGGTAGGCTCAAGGCGAGTGACAGTGGGGTCCTGGGTGTAGGTGTAGAGGACTCCAGGACTGGAGATGTTGGCACGGTCAATGGCCAGGGTGATGGGGGCCTGGCTGGGGCCCAGGGTGGAGACGGGGGAGATACACACGATCGCTTCGGCATCTCTCCTGGGTCAACAAGTGGGCACTTGGAGCAGGTGTCCCAGGGCCATCACCTGCCCTGCCCTTGTGGCCCAGTGCCCTGCCCAGTGCCCTGCCCACCTCACAAACTGGCACTCGCCATCTCTCACAGTCACCGTGACCCTACTGCCAGCGTCCAGAGAGCTACCGGAAATGGTGAGCCGTGTGCCTCCTGAAGCTGGGCCCCGACTAGGACTCACACGGTCGAACGTTGGGGTCTATGAGAGAAGTAGCCCTCAGGGGAGGGAGAAGGCAGCCCAGTGCCAGGGCTTGGCCAGATGCCCCTCAGAAGGGGCGGGTGAGGGAAGGGGTGGGCGGCCCACGCACCACGAAGCTGTAGAGTTCCTCAGACTGCGTGCGGAAATCAGTTGAACAGTCGCCTACACAGAGCTCCACGGGCCCTGGCAGTGGGCTGGGCACCAGCGACTCCTCCATCTCACACACGATCCTAGGGGACAGAGAAGGTCAGGGCCAGCTGCAGTGGACGGGGCTGGGCACCCGCACAGTCACACTCACCTCTCAGTGCTGACGTACTCAGCGGGGATGGAGTTGCAGCGCACACCGGCCACCCGTAGGCCCACCTCTCGGTAGGTGAGGCCCAGGTTCTCACCCATGATGGTGACCCGGGTGCCTCCCTCCTTGGGCCCCATGAGTGGGTGGATCTGCAGAGCAGGACAGGAGGTGAGAAGATGAGCCCAGACTCGTGGGTGCCCAGTGGGTGGAAGGTGGCGAGGAGGCTGACCTGAGCAATGCGGGGGTGGCTGCAGCGGGTGCCCTTCTGGCTCAGGTGCATCCAGTTGGTCCTGGGTGCTGGGCAGTGGGCCCGCAGCTGGCACCTGTGCTCCGAGATGCACCAGCCACAGTTGAAGCGGGGGTCAGCCTTGAGGCAGAGGCCACAGCTAGGCCGCTGGGCCCAGCACTTGTACAGGAGAGCTGCGGGTACAGAGGGCACTTCTAGGGGGCAGCTACAGGGAGCCAGCGGCACTGAGGGCCCTGCCGGAGGGTCCCCTGCTGGACCCGGCCCAGCTCATGCTGACTCTGCCCCAGGAGGCGAGCTCTTCAGCCCCATCCCGCCCCTCACCTCGGAAGGTGGCAGGCTTGTCGATGGGGAAATCTCCATCCCAGACCACAGAGAAGTCCAGCTCAGTGTCACCATACTCATCGCCTTCATAGGAATACTGGGGGGAGACGGAGGGACCTGTGTGACCCCAAAGAAGGTGTGCAGACCTCCTGGCTCAGGAACCAACAGCAGGAGACTCAGAAGGCCCCCTGCCACGGCCACTTGGCCCTGCACGACCTGGACACCAATCCCCACCACCGCCCTGGGGGGTGGGGGGGGCAGGGCCTCACCGAGGCATTCTGGCACTGCACGCTGCTGCTGTTGAAGCGCACGGCAGGCACCCGCTGCTGCCGCCCCTGCACCCGGACCACGCATTCATAGTTCTTCTGGCCCGACTGGGGCTGCGGCAAGTTCTTGGCCCTCAGGGTAAGAGGCTGCATGACGCCAACCGGGATCAGGAGGTCCCCGCTGGGCAGGATCTCAGGGCAGCCCTACAGGGAGAATGCCCGTCAGCTGCACATGGACTGCTGCCGTCCGGGCCAAGCTGGGCCAGCCCCGTGTTGAGGAGACTCCAAGAAACCAACGAGATCAAAGGCAGAAAAACCAGAGGCCAGCCCACATGGAGCCCAGCCCCCTCGATCACAGCACCCGCCTCACCTCAGGGCTGTGGACCTTGCCCTCCTGGAAGGAGCACTCGTGGGGGTGGCTGGTACACACGTGGCGGTACTTACACCAGTGGCACGGGTAAGGGCTGCCGACGCAGGACATGCACCTGGGGAGGAGAGGCTTCCCAAATAACCAGGAAGGCCAGGCCTGCCCCTCATCATCCCTCCTATGGGACACACAGGGGACTGAAGGAAGAAGGCACTGGGGCCCACACAACACAGCAAGGGACGAAGAGACGTGGGGACAGCGGTCAGGAAGGCCAGTACTCACGACTGGAGAACGCTGCAGTTGTAGAAAACAAAGTCGGCCCCTGCGAAGCTCACGCCGGTCTCCTTGGAAAGCAGCTGCAGCCGCACGGTGCGGGTGGCCCCTGCAGCAAGCCCAAGGCACCGTGAGTGAGCTGGGACCAGAGTGTGCTCCCCATCCCAGGCAGCCCCAGCCCACTGACCGTGCCCCCTGGTGAGAGCCCGGAGCTCCTGGAGGGAGGGTGAGGGGCAGCGCAACTCCCCGGAGGGCAAGAGGACGGCCTCACTCTCCGTCACCTCCTCAAAGGCACAGCTCACACCTGCACTGAGGTCTGGCACGTTGCGCATGGCCACAGTCAGCTGGGGGAGGCAGAGGACTCAGAGTAGGGTGCGCCCCCCCCCAACATGCACAGGCCCACACACTCCCCTCCCACCACACCACTCACCTGCACCCCAGGCGATGTCACTGACACGTTGTTGGGCCAGACCCGCACCTGAACACACTTGCTCAGCTCCTCAGCAAAGCCATGAGGGACCGAGGCACCTGGACAGGCCCCTTCACGGCAGCATCTGCATGAAGTCAGGCCAGAGCCCGTCCCACAGCTGCCCCAGGAAGGTGCTGTCTGGGGGTGCAGTGGGGCCTGAGGACAAAGGGGACAGCCAGCCCAGCCACAGTGCCAGGCAACAGCGTGCCTCAGCCTCATTCCCTAGGGTCCAAGGGACGCCACTTAGGGTAGAGGTTCAGCTCATTAGCTGGAGAAAGTGGAAAGGGGGGGGAGGGGGAGGCCACAAGGGCATGGCTGGAGAAGTGCGCCTGTGGGCTGGCTCCTCCTGGGAGCAGGGCCTTACTGAGCCCCTTGTCACCAGCCGTCCCGCACCACCGCCCTCACCTGTGCTGCAGCACACACCAGCCACAGTGCGGGTCCCCCGAGCCCAGGCAGGCTGCACAGCTCAGGTATTGCTCGCAGGTCTCCACCGGGAGCTGGCTCACCTGGGGACAGCTGCATCAGCACCCAGCCTGCCCCCACCCCACCACCCACCACCGCCCGCCACGGGCCCACCTGCTTCTCACTCAGGAGGTAGATGTGCCGGTGGTCGGGGCTAAAGAGCAGGTCTCGGAGTATGGGGCTGCCGTCCACCACGGGTACCGTCTCATACAGATGGGCATCCTGGGAGCCATCGACCCGCACCTGAGCCACGAGACCAGAGCAAAAGGATGACAAGCCAGCCTGATGCCACAGCAGCACCCCATACACCCAGGGCAGCCTCTTCTCAAGCCAGGGACTTTCCAGGTTGCGGCCAAGCTGAAGCCAGGGCCTGGCTGCCACAGGCCCTTGGGGGTGATTCAGCCAGCCAGAAAAGGCTCCCAGAAGATAGAGGCACAGAGGTTAGTGTTGCCTAGGGATGGGAGAAAGAGGTTATAGCTAAAGGGGAAGGGATTTTTTCAGGTGATGACAATGTTCTGGAAAGAGAGAATGGTGACGCTTGTACAACTCTGCAAACTTACTAAAACAACTGAAATGGACACTTTAGATGGGAGGAGTGTATGGTACAAGACCTATACACCAATAAAGTTTTTACAAATCAAAAAAAGGGCCTAGGAGGGAAGCAGGCCAGGCCCTGAAAGCTCAGTGGCTCCGTTCATAAACTCTCCCCTGGCCACCCCCAGACCTCCTGGAGGACAGCATTTGTTCCCCCATTCTTCCGACTGATGACCCAGCAATGATGGCTCAGCCACAACCCCTGCTCTGTGGCAAGCAGGCCCTGAGATGGGTCTGGTCTCTGTCCCACAGCCAGAGGAAGCTGGCAATTCAGGCCACAACAGGCAGTGTTGCTGGTGAGGTGGATGGCTGAGGGGTCAGCCGTGGAGCCTGGCCAGGCTCCTGGGGCCCAGCCTGGTAAGCCCCACTCCCCCACAGGCCATGCCCTGTCCAGAGTCTCCAGGGGCTTGTCTGCACATTCTTGACCCCACCCCTCGTCCCCCGTCTCCAAGTCTGCCCTGATCCCCCCATGCCAAGGCTTCTGGGCCCACCTTCTTCAGGCTGCCGTTGCGAGTGCCAATGAAGACCACAGAGTGCTGGTGGTAGGTGTAGGCGGCCACACTGGCCATGCCGTCAGTGCTGTCTGCCAGCAGGGGCAGCCCCTCGATTACGTGCAGGCCACCTAGTGGCTGGTTCAACACCAGCCCACAGAAGTTGCCATTTATCTGCATGGGCTGGTGAAACAAGAGGGATGTGGATAAGAGTCAGAACTTGGAGACACCAGCTAGACAGTGGCCATGAGACCCCACATTTTGGAAAGGACTAGGATCTGGAACCGACTGCTTGCCCTGGGACCCCACAGAAAATCAGGGGCTGAGGAGGGAGATAGAGGAGGAAGAAGAGGCAGGAGCGGGGATAGGAGAGGGAGGCCTGGGCCAGCAAGATGGGGACAGGCTGGGATACTCGTGAGATGGAGCAAGGAGCAGCAACCTGGGGATGGGTGGAAGAGCAGGAAGAGGAAGGGGGTGGTCCATAAACAGCAAGCGCCCGCCAAGAGAGACAGTGAGAAGGCAGGCCAGGGAAGAAAGAGAAACAGCAGATGCAGGGAGAGAACAAGAGAGGGCGGGCAATCCCTGAGAGGGACGAACAGGTGTTCCAGGTGTAGGGTGCCAATCCCAAGGCCACACCAAGGCTGGCACAAGCCAGCCCACTAGCTGCCATACCACCATCCAGGCCAGGCCGCAAACCTGGGAAGGGGCAGAGGGCCAGGCTTGGGGGTGGGGGAGGGGGTCGGGGCAGGGGATCGCTCACGGTGTTGATGCAGGGCAGCTCCTTGTTCAGCAGCCAGGGCAGGGCCAGCGTGCCCTCCCCGCGATAGCAGGACTGGATGCGGCGCCGGATGTGGGCGTTGATGTTGCTGAGAGTAAAGAGGCAGAGGATGGTCTGCCGTGGTGGGCTGGCCCGGTTCTTCTGGCCCTGAGAGAAGATGGTGAAGAGGACGTCCTCGTCGGCCGGCACGCCCAGGGCCTGGGCCAGCAGCAGGCCAGGCTTGGCCAGGTGGGCGCTCTGCACCAAGCGGTACTCCACGCCGCGCCAGGAGCAGCCGATGGGGAACTCCACGTATGAGTAGAACTCTGAGTCACCTGCGCACATGCGCACAATCTTGGACGTGAAGAATTTCTCGCCTGCTGTGTCCAGCAACGTCTGCTGGGTGTCCAGCTGCAGCGTCAGGAAGTACACAAAAGAAGCACTCACAAAGCCATAGATGTAGTAGATGTCAAAGGCGGGGTACAGGGACAGCGTGTCTGAGGGGATCTTGATCTGCGAGGAGACAAACTCGTCCTGGTAGACCTGGGGAGCAGGGCGAGGAGAGAGCATGGGACAAGGCCTGAGTCCGTCGGCAACCTCCCAAACCCTGGCCCCTTGGATCCTGCAAACCACACTGGCCCTGCTCCCACAAAACGGTCCCCCCGGGGCTTCTCTCATGACCCCCCACCACCCGTACGGTCACAGGATCCCAGGCCAGAAAGGCCGCAGAGGGCAGGGTGAGCAGCCCCATCCTGTGCCCCCGCCGGTCCTCCTCTCCTCAGCAGCTCGTCCCCTCTTGGACCAGGGCTCTTCCAGAGGTGGAGCCAGGACAAGGTGAAGGCAGGGAACTGGGAGCTGGCTCTTGAGAGGGGTGAGAAGAGAGGTGAGGGAAGGAGGGCCCGACAAGCGGCCCAAGAGGGTGAACAGGCAGGCGAGCTCACTCACCAGACTGAACATGTCGGCACTGTCCTCGTCACCGATGAGCTTGCGGGAGCTCAGGGTGGGGAAGTACTCGGACTTGCCATCCACGGCAGTGCCCACGAACAGCTTGCTGGGCCCCTGGCCCTGCTCTACAATGACGCCGGCCATGGAGTCAGGTTCCTGTGCCCCCGACAGGTAGTGCTCCTTGCGATGGTGAGGCTCGCCAAGCTTGAAGAGGTCATCAAGGCGCAGGAACTGGCAGATGCCCTGCCAGATGCTGCCACAGGCCACCAGGCGGCGGGCTGCATAGTCTATGAGCAGCAGCTTGTTCACGTTGTCCACAGGCGCCAGGCGATGGGCACACACACGCATACTGGGGGGTGGATAGCAGCGAGCATTGTCCTCGACAGGCCCCGTGACGTGGGCCCGCAGCTCGGTCAGGTTGGGGGTCAGCTTGAAGACACGGTTCACTGCGCCCACGAACACCTCTCCAGTCACCCGGTGTACCACCAGGTGGGTGAGTGTGGTGTCTGTCACCGAGAAGGCAGGGAAGGGCCTGCTGCTGCCCAGGGGCACCCCCATGGCAAGGACGAGCAGTGAGAGGAGACAGACAGCGGGCATGGCCGGCAGCTGCACCCAGGTACGGGCCTAAGGAGAGACGGCAAGTGTCAGTCAGAGACCCTCTGGCCCAGGCTGCCTGCCCTCCTCCTGCCCTGCTTGGCCTAGGGTCCCCGGCAGGCTGAGCCACAAGCCACCGAGGGTGGAGGCCACTCTCCCAACATCACGCCAGAGCCCCAGATGGTGATGGTGACCGTGGCTGGGAGAGAGGAGGGGCCTCCACCAGGGCGCATGAGTGAGCAGCAAGCACAGGCAGGCTTGGGGGTCATCAATCATCCCCCACCCCCCACTGGAAAGGAGCCAGGAGGCCTCGCCTCAGCTGGGCCACACCCAAGGGGGCAGCAGAGCCAGATGCTGGGAAAGACAGGGTGGGATGCCCTCCCAGAACGAAACCCTGATTACCAGATCTCAGACTTGAGGGCAGCCAGCCGCACACAAGAGCCACCGTGGGCAAGCCACAGGCCACAGAGATGCCCCACACCCAAGTTGGGGGAAGGAGGAAAGGCAGGGAGAGAACAATCACAAGCCTGGGGTGGGGGGGCACCACCCCAGGGTGGCATTGCCACCAGGAGCCCCAGGACAGAGGTCTGGGTCTCAGGGATCAAGCCCTGAGATGGGACACAGCGCTGCCACATCCCCACTCCTGGCCCCAGCTGCCTCCTTGCCCGGAGGGCCTCCCTCAGCTGGCTGTCCAGGAGCCTGCTGTCTGGCCTGCCCACTGCAACACAAAGCCAAGTCGCGCCTGCCCCCACAGCCACGCACTGAGACAGACGTAAGTCAGGCTCTGCTCAGGCACAGCCTAACAGATGCCGTGCATGGCTCTCCCTCCAGGTCCAAAGGTTAGCTGGGAAAGGGGAGGTGCAGAGGGGCCCAAGGAGCCCTAAGGATGGGGAGCAACGTCCCCAAACACAGCAAGGCCTCGGGGAGATGCGGGGGCTGTAGGGACAGTGCCCAGCTTGGCTGGGTCTTCAACCCCAAGCCACACCCAGATCTCTGGCCAGCCCCAGGCAGCAAAGACAGCAGAGCAGTGTCGTGGCAGCCAATGGGGCAGGGCTCAGCGCTACCCAGTCAGTGACAAGCCCCAAGGGAGACATGAGGTACCCAGGTTGGGGGCTGCAGGGAACCAAACCAAGGAGGCGCAGGAGAGAGAAAGGAAAAAATGCATTTGCTAAAACAAGGAGCAGGCCCAGCTTGAAACGAAAGTTTCAACTCAGACTGATCATCTCTCAGAGCCTCTTTTGTCAGGTCTGCATCCTGCACCCCTAATGCAACAGCCAGAGAATAAAGGAAGGCCAGAAAGGAGACTGCATCCCACCCTCACCTCCTAGGAACAGGGATGGGGACAGGTGGGGACATCTGGAGAGTCAGGGTTTGCAGCCCAAGCCCCCATCCCAACCTCCACCTGTCAGCGGGAGCCTTGGGCATCACAGGCACACCAAGCCCCTCTGCCACAGCCCTGCCAGTAGAGAGCCCAGCCCTCCCACCCCCCCGCACCGTGCTGCTGCCCGGCTCGCCCTGCCCCCACCAGGGGCACCCCCTAGGCAGAGCCACCAGGACCCTAGTGGATGGAGGTGCTGCAGCAGTCCTTGGAGGGGTCGCTCCTCCCCCACAAAGAGTCCCCATCGGGCAGGGGGGCTGGGCTCGGACTGGCCGTCCCTACCAGTGCAGGGCACTAAGGACCAGTCACGACGGCGCCCGAGGGGCAAGAGCAGAGGCAGGACCCGACCCCCTCAACGCCCCCGAGCTTCCTGAGCCCCAGGCCGCTGAGCAGGCTAACCCCGCACGGGCGGCGGGAGATGGCGGCCACCTACCTGTGTCTCCACCGCCCCTGGCTCAGGGTGGCCGCCCTCCAGCCACGTGGACCCGCCCCCGAGCCCCACACCGGCCCCGCTCCCGGGCCACCGCCGCCGCGCCCAGGGCTCCGCGAGCCGCCGTCGCCGCCGCCGCCCACACACTGGGGCCGGCCTGCGGCCGCCAGGCCCTTTTAAATCCGGACCGTACCACCGCGCCGGGCGGGGGCGCCCAGGGAGGGCCGGGTGGCAGGGCGCGCGGGGTGGGGACTGCTCCTCCCCAGGGCCGGGGGCAGGCTCCGCGCAGCCCCGGCCCCCGTGAGCTGCCGGGATCCCCGCACAGCGAGCCGCTCGACCCCCCTCGCGCAATGGCCACATCCGCGGCGCGCGCCCCTCTCCTCCTCCCCGCCTGCTGCCTCCGGCAACCCTGGGACCCGCGCGGGCCCGCGCCACACCCCCTCGGACCCGGGGCGCGCGCGGCTGGCGCGGGCGCGCGCCGACCCCGCCCCGCCCCGCCCCGGCGCTCGTAGGCGCGCCGTGGACCACCTGCTGCCAGTGTGCGGCTTCCCCTGCTCCGCCCGTCAGGTGCCCACCAGCCGAGGACTCGCGGTCCTTGCTGAGGACACTCTCCCCAGGACGGTCCATAACCCGGAGGGCCCGCGGCTAATAACATGGAAAAGCTCAGCACAAAGACTCGAGGCAGTCAGGCATTTACACCTGGTCCCTTTCCGGACCGGCCCCCATGCTGTGAATCTGGGGTGTTCGTTCATTCCCTTGCTTTCTTTTTCCTTTTCTTTTTAAACGGCTTTATTGAAATATAATTCACCTGTCATATAAGTCACTCATTTAAAGTGTAGCATTCAATGACTTTTAGTATATTCACAGAGTTGTGCAACCATCCCCACTATCAAATTCCAGAATAGTGTAATCACCACCAAAGGAAACCCCTGTACCCATTAGCGGTCACTCCCCAGTATCATCTCCGCCTAGCCCCTGGCAACTGCTAATCTCCTTTCTGACTACAGATTTGCCTATTCCGGACGTCTCACATAAATGGATTCATACAATATGCATGTGTCTTTTGTGTCTGGGTTCTTTCACATACCATAACGTTTTCAAGGTTCATCCATGTTTTAGCATGTATCAGGACTTCATTTCTTTTTAGGGCCAAACAATATTCCATTACATGGATATGCCACATTTTATTTATCTGTTCGTCAATTAGTGGACTTTTGGGTTGTATCCATATTTTGGTTATTGTGAATAAGGCTGCTAGGAACATTCATGTACAAGTTTTTATGTGAACATTTTGTCATTTCCCTTACACTTTAGAGTAGAATTGCTGGGTCACATGATAACTCCATTTTTAACATTTTGAGAAAAAGGCCAAACTGCTTTCCAAAGTGGCTGCACCAGTTTACATTCCCATCAGCAGTATATAAGGGATCCAGCTTCTCCGAAGCCTTGAAGCGCGCCAACACTTGTTATTATTTGACTGTTTGTTTCTAGCCCTCCTAGTGAGTGTGAAATGGTATCTCATTGTTTTGATTTGCATTTCCCTGATGACTAATGATGTTAAGCATCTTTTCATGAGCTTGTTAGCCATTCCTATGTCATCTTTGACATACAAAGAAATCTGAAATGTCTATTTAAATTCTTTGCCCATTTTTAATCAGGTTTTTGTTTTTTGTTGTTGTTGAGTTGTAGTTCTTTTTTTTTTTTTTTAAATTTCAGGTGTACATCATTGTACTTCTATTTCTGCATAGATTACATCATGTTCACCACCAAAATACTAATTAAAACCCATCACCACACACAT